AATTTTGCTGGGGCCTGATCAGCCTGATAGTCCTGGCTTGAAATTTACTTGGCTTTCGATGAAGCAACGAAATCTTCTTAACGTAAACCGGCAGATACGGGTGGAACGAAACAAACATCGGGATCGTTAGTAGACTGACCACCAGGTAACGCAGCACTGTTCAAAACAGCTGGAAAGCTTGCCGACTACAGGCTGATAAAACATCTTATGAATTGCAGCAGGGCGTACATTCAGTTCCTGTTTCTTGTCCGTGCTGGTGGTAAGAAGTGCGCAGCGAACCGAAGCATAAGCAAAAACTAATCTCAAAAAAGAAGAAAAAACTAACATCCGGAAGTACGCATCTCTATCTTGATCAGCAAATTCCGGGTCTTGAGGGGGATGAAGTTGCCTGATAGATGCCAAACACAACGACCGTTTGTCTTGCATCTGAAAAAAAGTTCATACATTAATAGTGCATCATTTTACCCGAGTGAATTTTCGCTGCCGTATCCGCAGTTCTTGGAGGATAGTACTACGGGGCGTGACAGAAACACTGGGACAACTGCTGTTTTTTATGGGAGGCCCTGGTCCCAGGGAACTCAGTTCATCATCCAGCGATGACTTCGTCTGTTGAGAATGCCGCTGTAGATTACTGTGACGAAACGCCAGAAATGAATAAAGATGCTAAATTTGATCTCTTAGCTTCAGTAGATATTTCGCGAACGAAGCGCATTCTCGAGCGCGATTAATATTTACTGTATCTTTGTCCCCATTATGTGTTTTATTATGCGTCAAATGAGAAATGGATTTCTGCAAAAAAATGAAAAAATTCATATTTTGAGATTTTGAATGGACTGCATTTTACTTTTAATTTTTTGAATAGCGTCTCTTTCGTCGTTGTGTTTCTCGCCATTTATGCAGCTGATGATAACTTCTCCATCCTTCTCTATTTTGCTCCCCTCTCATTCACATAATTCAGGAGAGTCATCCAAATGCATCTTTCTGTCGCATTGGCGACCTCTCTGTTCCTCAAAACAATGGAGTAGCTGTGTTTTGTGTGTACGAAGTTTAATTCCTGACCCCGCTGTTACGACTTATCGGATTTTCCGACCTAGAAAGTTATGAGCAAGCTTTCAATATTCGTTTACACACTCAGTTGATGTCTGTATTTTATCAATCCTAAAATTTCACAATACGCGCAGTCTTAGATTTCGAATTAATTCCTGCCGTCAGTGATTTCTTACTAATATATTCTAAGTCTTGGGTTAGAGCAGATCCGTGTATTTTAGGTATCCGAGATCCGTCATCATCAACCTTGCGTGTTATTTCGGAAACT